AATACGGGCCTAAATCTTATTGCTTTGATACCTGTTAAATTCAATGTAAAAAGAGAGAAATATAGAGAGAATAATGTATCTATTGATATTATTATTGATTGTATTATTGATACATGTTATGTACATGGTTGGTCTCCTTTATATAGGAGATGTGGGTGGAGAGTAGGTGTAGTGGAGTAGGTGGAGTAGGTGGAGTTGTGTAGTGGAGTAGGTGAAGTGGAAGTGGAGTTTGGTAGTGGAGTAGGTGAAGTGGAGTAGTTTTAACACTCGTAATGTTCAGCAAGAGCGGAAACACCGACGAGCTCTTGCGGCTCGTGCCGTGTGCCAAGGCCAAAGGTGCGTACTTGATCTCTGTGACTTCCACGGAGTCGAATTGCTTGATGGGTTTGTGCGATTTGAATGTGTATTTGCCTCTGGAGAGGGAATGTTTGCCCGTTCGATCTTTGCGCCGGTGACATCGACTGCCATTCAGATGGTTTTTGGGGACACTGTGGCAATTGCCCTGATGGGTGCAAGGAATTTGACTAAGGATGAGTATGCCGCGAATCACCCAGCTGGGCGGATCGGGAAGAACTTGATTTTCAAGGTGAGATAGTGTTGGTTTGACTGAAATTTGAGAATTATTTGTGTTAATATAATTCTATGAAGAGAGAGAAAAGAGAATAATCTGTATATTGAATCATCATAACGAAACACAAGTACAAGGTCGTTTATATGGTGTACAATAAGTCCTAAGTATTGAGGAAGGAATGGTTGGAATGGTAAATCCTAATCTAGTAGAATATTAGAATAGTAATGATAATCTAGATATAACGCGTATACATTCACAATTGCGATTTGTTACTAGTTTTTTGTGTGATTGCGGATTTGGATCGGGTGAAAATATGATAGATCTAGGACTTAATCAAACGCTTCCTTTAATCATTGATGGTGTTGCAAGCTGGTGGGTCTGTCCATTTTGGTTGCGGTAAAGATATATGCACATAATTGGTGCTAAAAAAAAAAAACTAGAAAATTATTGTGTGGTTCGGATTTAACTAAGGTATTATAGGGCCCACATTAAAGTGAATCTAAGCCCTACAATGATTTTTCTTGGAAATATTTCTGTGCATGGGTTCTGTTGAGAGAGAGAGAGAGAGAGAGATCGAATTACTTGAGGGGTGTCATGAGTATGAAAACTAGGACAAATAAAGCTTGGTTGAGTTGATATGGATACTATTAGATTATCCTACTGTTGATAATATGATTTTCATCTGGGTTGAGTCTTGTGTCTGTGGAGTATACTTGAAGTCATGTCAATCTCCTCTTTTTTCCTTTTTTGATCTCTCTCTCTCTCTCTCTCTCTCTCTCTCTCTATATATATATATATATTGAAATTCTGTGACTGAAGGGAATATCATGCTCTGCTTCTGCTGCAGATTGAACTAGAACAATACCCAACTGGACCCCATATCGCTTCTCGGATGTTATACACTGTATACTCTTCTTTCTCCTCTAGCTTTTCTATCTTCAAGGTTTTCTATTTTTTTTTTGATTTGTTTTTTTTGGTTTTGTTTTTTTTTTTTTTTTTTTGGTTGTTGTTGTTGTTGTTTTTTTTTTTTCTTCGTGGAATGAAATAAAAGAAAAATTTTAAAAATCAGAAATGGTTGGAATGTATATATATATAGATATATATAGAAAATAAAAGAAAGTTGAAGAGAGGGATGTAACCCGGAGTAATAATAATAATAATAATAAAATGGGTATCATGGAGTGGGCGGTGGTATAAAAATATTGTTTAGAAAAAGAGGGAGGTGGTGGAATGATAGGTCAAAAGGTAGAATAAAAAAGAAAAAAAAGCACTTGGGTTGGGTCATGGATGCTGATTGTGTTTATAGTAATAATAATAATAATTATAATAATAATAAAATGAATGAGATTTCAGAGAGCAAAGAGAATGGAGATGCATTAGGCATGTGAGGTGTAAAGTGGAGGACAAAATAAAAGAAAAAGGTAAGGAATGTGATGATTTCTGTCCCTTGGGCGTGAATGTGGTGCTGGTAAGTGGCAGTGATGGTGGTGTTGGCAGCCAGGTGTGTCAGGTCTATGGTCGAGAAACGGCCGGAAATGTTGACGCCGTGGATTGCTTGAGGGCGACTGTTAGATCACGGCCAGCAAGGTCAAGACGGAGGATAGCATGAGGAAGAGCATACCCCTCATAGATAGGCACGGTGTGGCTCACACCATCACCAGAATCCAGCACAATACCAGTTGTACGACCACTGGCATATAGAGAGAGAATAGCCTGGATGGCAACATACATGGCAGGCACATTAAAAGTCTCAAACATAATTTGGGTCATCTTTTCTCTGTTTGCTTTAGGGTTGAGTGGTGCCTCTGTAAGAAGCACTGGATGCTCTTCAGGAGCAACACGGAGCTCATTGTAGAATGTGTGATGCCAGATCTTTTCCATGTCATCCCAGTTGCTGACAATACCGTGTTCAATAGGATACTTCAAGGTAAGAATACCTCTTTTGGATTGGGCTTCATCACCTACATAAGCATCTTTTTGGCCCATCCCAACCATGACACCAGTGTGCCTGGGTCGACCTACAATACTGGGGAAAACTGCCCTGGGAGCATCATCACCAGCAAACCCAGCCTTCATCATTCTAGTTCCATTGTCACAGACAAGGGGCTGAATATCCTCAGTATCAGCCATCTTTTATAACTAGTAGTGAGGAGGAGACAGATAAGACGAGCGAAAATGGGTGAAGATCGAAGATCGTCCGAAGCAATGACTAGCTCTCTCTCTTCTCGATCGAAACCCGAAAACGAAGTTGAAGAGCAACCTAGGGCGGTGAAAGAGAGTGTCGTCGCCGATGTGAAACAACCTAGGGCAGTGCGTGGAGCATCGCGTGTGCAATTCGTCACAGTTGGATGATAGCATGGAGATCTGCAATTTGTGTGAACAGTAGTGCAAACAGCAGGTTGAAGAAAGGAAATTTCAAGTCTCCTTTCATAACCCTCAATTCCAATTGCGGAGAGTTGGAAGATGCAGGAAAGTGAAGGTATGTGTAGAAAATTCCAACGGGCAGCGAAGGCAAGGTTGCCGGCCGGCTGCCCGCCGGTGAGAAAACAAAATACGGGCCTAAATCTTATTGCTTTGATACCATGTTAAATTCAATGTAAAAAGAGAGAAATATAGAGAGAATAATGTATCTATTGATATTATTATTGATTGTATTATTGATACATGTTATGTACATGGTTGGTCTCCTTTATATAGGAGATGTGGGTGGAGAGTAGGTGTACTGGAGTAGGTGGAGTTGTGTAGCGGAGTAGGTGAAGTGGAGGTGGAGTTGTGTAGTGGAGTAGGTGAAGTGGAGGTGGAGTTGTGTAGTGGAGTAGGTGAAGTGGAGGTGGAGTTGTGTAGTGGAGTAGGTGAAGTGGAGGTGGAGTTGTGTAGTGGAGTAGGTGAAGTGGAGGTGGAGTTGTGTAGTGGAGTAGGTGAAGTGGAGGTGGAGTTGTGTAGTGGAGTAGGTGAAGTGGAGGTGGAGTTGTGTAGTGGTTTTTGGGGACACTGTGGCAATTGCCCTGATGGGTGCAAGGAATTTGACTAAGGATGAGTATGCCGCGAATCACCCAGCTGGGCGGATCGAGAAGAACTTGATTTTCAAGGTGAGATAGTGTTGGTTTGACTGAAATTTGAGAATTATTTGTGTTAATATAATTCTATGAAGAGAGAGAAAAGAGAATAATCTGTATATTGAATCATCATAACGAAACACAAGTACAAGGTCGTTTATATGGTGTACAATAAGTCCTAAGTATTGAGGAAGGAATGGTTGGAATGGTAAATCCTAATCTAGGTAGAATATTAGAATAGTAATGATAATCTAGATATAACGCGTATACATTCACAATTTGCATTTGTTACTAGTTTTTGTGTGATTGCGGATTTGGATCGGGTGAAAATATGATAGATCTAGGACTTAATCAAACGCTTCCTTTAATCATTTGATGGTGTTGCAAGCTGGTGGGTCTGTCCATTTTGGTTGCGGTAAAGATATATGCACATAATTGGTGCTAAAAAAAAAAACTAGAAAATTATTGTGTGGTTCGGATTTAACTAAGGTATTATAGGGCCCACATTTAAAGTGAATCTAAGCCCTACAATGATTTTTCTTGGAATATTTCTGTGCATGGGTTCTGTTGAGAGAGAGAGAGAGAGAGATCGAATTACTTGAGGGGTGTCATGAGTATGAAACTAGGACAAATAAAGCTTGGTTGAGTTGATATGGATACTATTAGATTATCCTACTGTTGATAATATGATTTTCATCTGGGTTGAGTCTTGTGTCTGTGGAGTATACTTGAAGTCATGTCATTTATGTTTAATGTTGATTGGTAATTGTTTTGTTAATGTACATAAAAGTCAGTTTCTTTTTTTTATTTGCTTTTCCTCTACCTTTCTTCGTCACAATAAAGGGGTGTCAACATAGCGATGATAACGTAGATTGATTGATGGATGCTAATTGATCAGTTTTTGGACATTTCTTATTATGATAATAACTCATAACCACCACAACAAAAAAAAAAAAAAAAAAAAAAAAAAAAAAATATTGGCTGGCTTCATTTTTAAATAGTGGATGGAATGGGCAAGGTTAGATTGAAAAATCCACATACCTTGAGTTTATTGAAAATATTTTCAATTAAATTTTTTCCTTGGTGAACACATGTTACATCTGTCAGGACTGGTGAATCTGGTGGTTTTCTACATCAAATTTCAAGAAAGTTTCTACATTTATTTTCAAGGGACATGTTTACAGTTAAATTATGTGAAGTTGGGACTTCAGTAAATTTTAGTATGAAAACTGTTCTTTCCTCGGCCAGAACTAGGGGGCATTTGGAGCTGAGGCATGTAATGTGTTTGGAGGCTTGCTAGAATAGAATCTTTGTTCAACACCAGTTCTGTGGATTTGTAAATAGTCGATATTGTGTTCTTTGTTCACGACTCATAATTCTTACAACTACAACAACAAATGGATTAAATTGGAAGGGGAATAAGTTATTTGAATTCTAATATCATGTTCCCAGGAAAATGATTTCTAGAGGAACAAGTGCAATTTAAAGCAGTGGTGGAGTTAACTGGAAACTTGTTTTGTTGCTATTGAATGCTGACAAAGCTTTGAGTTGGTGGTTTTTTTTGTATGTAAAGAAAAAACGTTAGTGGATGGAGCGCACACACGCACCCACACAAAATAGAATAAATAGGGAAAAAATGTGGGTTTTGCATTCCAACTATTTGGGTTGGTTGGACTGAATTCTGCGTGTTGCAGGTGAAGGATGTTATGAAAAAGCAAGAGGAACTTCCAGTCTGCAGGGAAGGAGATTTGATAATGGATCAGCTAGTAGAGCTAACCAGTAAAGGATGCGGGTGCCTCCTTGTTATTGATGATAAGTACCACCTTATAGGAACATTTACTGACGGTGATCTGCGGCGCACCCTGAAAGCTAGTGGGGAGGGCATCTTTAAACTCACAGTGGGAGAAATGTGCAACAGGTAATTGTCTCACTTAAGATCTTAGGGGAAAATATTGGTTCTATAGCATATCTATACTGTAAATTTGACTTGGGTTAAGTCACTTTGTCAAAGTTATTTTTGATGCCAATGATTATCAAGATTTGATGCTTCTAGACCGTCTGGTTTGGACTTGTCTGGTAGTTGGCTAAAATCAGAGAGTTCAAACTCTCCAACCATCGTAATGTTTACTTACATGTAATAATAGATGTGAATAAGTTAGAAAATGGAATTCTTTTATGTCAGTCTGCATGACAAATTTTTTTTCGCCAATAACTCGGATGACATTTCAGGAACCCAAAGGACAATTGGTCCCGGTGCAATGGCAGTTGAAGCAATGCAGAAGATGGAATCTCCTCCATCCCCTGTTCAGTTCTTGCCTGTCATCGATAGTCAGAACATCTTGATTGGTATTGTTACACTGCATGGATTGGTCTCAGCTGGCTTGTGATTCCATCCTCCATTTTATACAATGGTTGATTCTTTGTAATTTTTTCATAGATCCTCCTACAAGGTGGTGTATTTATTCTTTAGCTTATTAATTCGGTACTCGTGAAGAATGTCAAGAACTTATTATTTTCTTTGTTGATGTAATGAGTTTCTTGAGCCTCCTATCTTAGAATTTTGTGTTGAAAACACCATTACTTCAAGATTTGCTAATCAAATAGATAAACACAAAATTATTGAACCAGGAAAGTGAAATAGTACGTTTTGTATGACAGGCTATGCTGCTCACTCCAACAATCAGACAACTTCTTGTAATGGTTAGGACCTTGATGGTTTCAATCCTAAAAACTAGTTTATTGCAATTTTTATGGATTACTTGTAGGTTGTTATAGCTTAAATGGACTGCTTATTATACAACAATGATTTAGAGCTCTAAATAAGGAGCTCTAAATCCACCACTAGTGAGGTGAAAATTGAAAAAAAAAGAAAAAGAAAAAAAAGCAAGGCACAACATACACTGTGGTAGTGGGTGGGATTTACTGTCACATCATTAGTGGTGACTCTAATTAGAGCTTTCGAGTATTTTTAGCTTATTATATATATACAACTTTGATTGAGAGCTCTAGTAGAGCTGCTCTGAAAGCAGCTCTACTGTGGCACACTTTCTGTTTTAGCTTTAAATGGACTGCTTATTTTATATATATCTATATATATATTAAGATTTTGTGCAAGATTATTTATTGTTTGTAGCTTCTAGTTATGTATTAAAAATAGTTTAAATAATTTTGAAAAAAAACTAATTATTTTAAAATTGGAGAAGATAAACTTTTAAATTATTAATTTTTAACTTATAAGTTTGCTGTGGCTAAAGAAAACTTAAAAGCTTATTTTAGTAACTTTAAAAGGTCTTTAAAAAATTAAAAATATATCAATCAAATTAAATTTTATAAGATTAATATTTTTAATTAATAAACTAACTTTTTAACTGACTCTCAAACAAACACTAGGTCAACTCAGAATAAGTTTTTAACTATGCTTTTCAATCCAGTTATCCTCAATGTTTAACATGGAATGTAGCTTTGTTAATAACATTTTTGGATGAATATGGGGAATTGCTATGAAGTTTCCTTTGATTTGTTTGGTTTCAAATAATTTTCTTTTTAGGCTTGTGTGCGCTACACGCCCTTACTAAATAAGTAATGATAAGATTGTGACAAATTGCTAACAAAAATATTAGGTAAATTATTAATAGGTCCTATAAGTTAGATTTAATTCTCATCAAGTTTTACTGAAAATAAATCTTGATAAAATTGTCACTAAAAATATTTTTTTTAAACAATTTTTGTATATATGTCGCTAAAAAATAACAATTAATGACTTTTTTTGTCATGATTTTATAAATAGTCGCTAAAACTTATAATTAGTGACTTTTTTTTATGACAATTTTTTTTCATAAGACCTATTAGACAATAAGTCCACTTATTAAGACCTACACGTAAGTACCTCGTAATATTATAATGATCACATTACTTTAATAATTTTGCATTTTATTTTATATTTTATTATTATATTAATTTGACGTATTCGATTATTTATGTTAGTTATCAATATAATTGTAACATGTTACCTATATAAAATGTGATAAGATAACGCAATAAACACATTTATGGGCATATGTTTTGGTATAAAAATGAGTATGTTATTATCTTTAATATGGATAATGTGATCAATCACGGAATTAGATCTACATGATTTTCTTATATGAGCGTGTAATTTATAAAATGTCAATTTAGTGTAACTTTTTTCAAGGTGAACATTGATATGTTGAAATTTTTTCTTAACTTTTAAATAATTAATTTTTTTACTTATTTAAATTCTTTCTGTTTCTTGAACTATAAACAAAAGCTGCACCAAATAAATTGACATAAACTTTTCACACCAAAAAAAAAGAGTTTTAAATAACTATATAAATGGTACCAAACAACACTAAAAAAATAAAACTCATTTTATATGAAAAAATAAAATTTATTTTATATGAAAATTGTATTTTATTCTGTCAAACATTTCAATGTTTCTAGACTTTTCTCCTAATATAATTGTGAATTGAAAAAATGTGTCACCATAGTCCTCAATTCTACAGTCTCTCTCATATCCACTTGCACTCAATGCCAAAACCTTTCCCTTTCTCGCAACATGCCCTCTTCCCAGAAATGAAATGACCACTCCTCTCTCTCTCTCTCTCTGCACAGTTTATAACTTCAGTTGCTTCCCCTTTTGCTGGAAAAAAATTCTGATTCTGAAGACGATGATCTGATCTTCTCTTTACTCTTAAAGCACTTCCCATAAATCAGAACAAGTCCACTTTCTCAAGAACTCTCTCTGATTGCACTATGCTTCAATCTCAGGTACTTCCCATCCTAGACAAGCTTCAACAGGAATATCCTATTTGCTATTCTCTCTTAACTATAGTTTCATATTCATCTTTCTTCACCCACTACATCTTTTTGTCCACCTGAATTTTCTCTCTCTCTCTCTCTCTCTCTCTCTCTCTTCACAAATTATATACATTGAGGCCATTGAGCATTCACCACTTGACTTTATAAGGGTTATAGTCCAATTACATTGATATCTTGAAAGCCATACACACTCTCTTTAGTGTATTGCATCTTTGTACTCACTCTCTATCTTTCTCTCTTCTTCAACTACTAGATCCATCTAAGCTAAGAATGTTGCAGAACTTATAAAGACTGAAGGAGAGTCACCACTATCAGAGTCAGATTCTGATGAAGATTGAGTAAAAAAGCTTAGAAGATCCCAGAAGAAGAAGATAAAGATCACAACACACGCAGATCTTTGCTTCCATGGATTTTTTCACAGTACCACTACCACTACCACCACCAAGCAACATTCCCCACATTCCAAAAATAATCACCACCACCACCGCCAACAACAAGCATTTCATCAACAAGACTAGTATCAACTTCAGCTTCACCTTCTGTTCCTAGCCAGTACGAGAGCCAGAAGCGCCGAGATTGGAACACCTTTGGGCAGTACTTGAGAAACCACAGGCCTCCACTCCCACTCTCCATGTGTTCTAGTGCTCATGTCCATGAATTCCTTCGATACCTCGACCAGTTTGGAAAAACCAAAGTCCATAACCAAACATGCCCTTTCTTTGGGGTCCCTAACCCACCTGCACCATGCCTTTGCCCTCTCAGGCAAGCCTGGGAAAGCCTCGATGCTCTCATAGGCCGCCTTAGAGCGGCCTATGAAGAGCACGGTGGGAAACCCGAGGTGAATCCGTTTGGGGCAAGAGCAGTGAGGCTTTTCTTGCGTGAGGTTCGCGATTTTCAAGCTAAATCTAGAGGGATTAGTTATGAGAAGAAGCGAAAGCGGTCGAAGGAGAAGGTACCACCACTGCAACAACCTCCTGTCGCAACTCAGTGATGTACACTACTCTGCACTATGGAGTAGCATTTATTAAGCGAAAGCGGTCGAAGTAAGTTTTTATGTAAGAATTTATTAATTGCACCTAGATGATGGTTTTAAATAAGGGTTACCAGCATCAGACGTTTAAAATTTAGATATGTATATGTATGAGCCGTTATTTAAGAACTTTGACCTAGATGTTCTATATGGGAATTTTTATATCTTCTATATTCTATGCTTAATTTCCATTTTGATGGACAATTAGAGCATGTAGAAATGGTCATTTTTTTTGTGTGTTTTACTTGTTAGGTTTGTTCAAGACCATGACTCGTGGATATGCAATCTCTCCAGTTTGCTGTTATTGGAAACAGTAGGGTTTGGGACTACCAAGAATAGAAATATAGAAATATAAGACGAGTTTCCAGTGAAGTAGTAACAAATGGCAGGCTACATTGTATGCATATCATGTACGGCTATATAATATGTACTTGAAAATTTGTTACATTTTAAACATTTGCAATTCAAGTTTCATAGCATTAGTTATTATCTTCATATTCCAAATCTCTCAATTTGGTGTTGAAGAATGTTTGAGAATCCTCTATTCCACTTTTTTCTGTCCTTTCGTCTTAAACACTTTCTTTATTTAAAATACTTTTTTATTATGGATTTCTCTCTGATAAAGAAGAGGTTTAGAATAAATGAATAAGAGAGAGAGAGAGTAAGATAGAGAATCCGGTCTGGTTTTCTTGAAGAATTTACTTCTTATACTTCTTAGCAAAAGAGAAGAATACCACAGAGGTCTTATACAAGTTTTATGGTTAAAAATATTTGATATTTGCACCTGAAAGATCTCAAGAGTCAAATTTTATGATCTCGAGGAGGATTTATGAAAGTGGAGACAGTTCCAAACTATGTTCTTTCTTTCTCAAAGTGGTATTATAATTTTGTTATGAACGTTGGAGAAATATTATGAATAATTATCATGTAGTTTTAAAAAAACATGCATATGTATTTTTTAGTAAAGTATATATTATGATTTTCCTATAAAAACATTGATAATGGCGTGGGGCTTTGATTAGATGTTCCTAAAAGAGGACAAAACATTAAACAAGTTTTAAAAAGAGTGAATTATGGAGTAGGTGCTGACGCATTAATGATCTAACAATATCTACATTTAGTGAAAAAGACAAAATCCAGATCTAAGTTTTTCATAATATATAGATGATACAGCCAACTCTACACAAATGCAAATAAACAATAAAAAACTTTAGGTTGCATTTAAATTAATTGGATTTCAAATGAATAGATTTAACATTATTCATTCATCAACATAGGAAATTAATTAGAGTCATTAATTAGATCACAATTAGAGTCGTTAATGAAACACGTTCACTACAACAAAAACATACTTTAGTGGCACTACACTAGTGGCATATTTTTAAAAAATGTCACAAAAAATGATATTTAGTGGCACGTTTTTGAAAAATGCCACAAAACGACAAACATAAAAGGCTCTAGTGACATTTCAATGAACAAGTGTCACAAAACTACAAAAAAAACATACTTTAGTGGCACTACACTAGTGGCATATTTTTAGAAAATGCCACAAAAATGATATTTAGTGGCATGTTTTTTGAAAAATGCCACAAAACGACAAACATAAAAGGCTCTAGTGACATTTCAATGAACAAGTGTCACAACACTACAACAAAAACATATTTTAGTGACACCATACTAGTGGCATGTTCTTAAAAAATGTCACAAAAAGAATATTTGGTGACATTTTTTAGAAAAATGTCATAGAGCCACAAACATGCAAGGCTCTAGTGGCATTTCAATTAAAAAAAGTGTCACTTCACTACAACAAAAATGTCACTACAACAAATTTACACTTTAGTGACACTACACTAGTAGCATGTTTTTAGAAAGTGCCACAAAAATAAAAATTGGCATTAAATGTTTTAGAAAAATGCCACAGAACCACAAAACATATAAGGCTTTAGTGACATTTCAATAAAGAAATGTCACATCAATTTTATGACATTTTATAAAATAATGACACAAAAAATTATGTTCGTGACATTTACCAACAGATACCACTAAACTTTAGTTGCAATGGCAATTTTTAAAAAATGTCAGGACACTAGGTAGGTGCAAATTACTTTTTATGGCACTTAGGTGAAAAGTGTCATAAACAAATATTTTATACCATTTTGAGAAATGCCACTAAGCCAAAAACTTTCCGAGCTTATAATAACATTTTTAAAAAAACAAAAAATGCCAATATATTTTCTAAATTTTTAAAATGCAGTAAATGATTAAAAATAAATGAATTAAACTCAATATACACTACAGGAAAAAGCATATTCGGCGACTAAATTTCCAGACCAAAAAAATTTGGTCACCAAAACAGCATTAGTTGCCAAAAGTAAAGCTTTTTGGCGACTAAACAATTTTAGTAGCCACAAGTCTACAATTGGCGACTAAAACTAAGTTTGGTCGCTGATTATATGGGTTTTAGTGACTAAAAAATTTTTAGTAGCCCAAAGTAAAACTTTTGGTGCCAAAAAAAATTTTAGTAGCCAAAAGTCTACAATTGGCGACTAAAAATAAGTTTGGTCGCTGATTATATGGGTTTAACCGACTAAAAAAATTTTAGTAGCCAAAACTAAAGTTTTTGGTGCCAAAAAAAATTTTAGTAGCCAAAAGTCTACAATTGGCGACTAAAAATAAGTTTGGTCGCTGATTATATGGGTTTAACCGACTAAAAAAATTTTAGTAGCCAAAACTAAAGTTTTTGGTGCGTGACCAAAATTTTGGTAGCTGAAAGTGCATCTTCGGCGACCAAATCCGATTTTGGTCGACAAAAGTTAAGTTTTTTAGCAACTAAAAAACAATTAGTAGTCAAAATTATAGAATTGGCGACTAAAAAATATTTTTAGTCACCAAAAGTAGTCTTTTTTTTATTTTGATAGTAAATAGTTTATTTTACATAAATTATGTTCAATAAAATAATTATGTTTATACATATACTTTTATATTAATATGGATGTATGTACTATATAAATAATATATGTTACATATATAATCATGTGGTGCTATAGAGGTGTAGTGGGAAGAGTATGGTGTATAAGGTTTATGGTGCGGAAGGTTGGCGGTTCGAGTCTCTGCAAGAGCGGATCAAATTGTTCTACGACGAATTATCGTCATGAATAGCACTTGATAGCGTCACGAATAGTGCCTACCATGACATTAAAGTGTCACTGAAAAGTTTTAGTCTTGATAGTGTAATGACACTTACAAGTGTCACTAACTCTTTTTTTAATGGCGCTTGATAGTGCCACAAATAATATCTACTATGACATTAAAATGTCATTGAAAGTTTTCAGCCATGATGGTGCAGTGGCACTTGCAAGTATCTACCGTGGCACTCGTATCTACCGTGACACCGATAGAAGTAGCACTTGTTCAAAATGCCACAAGACCAAAAAATGTCATTAGAAGAATAGTTTTGTGACACTTTCAAATGTCACTAAACTAAGAAAATGTTGTAGTGGTTCATGAAAAAAAAAGAAGTTGTGCTAGGGATCCTAAATATTTTACTAAGCCTCTCACATGAGTATGGGATTCACACACATGTGGATTTGTGTGAGTCTCACTCATGTGAGAAGTTTGGTAGAATATTTGGGTTACATAGTATTTCTCAAAAAGAAATTCATAAAAGGATATCAAATAACTAGATTTATCAAGTTATTTTAAATTCATCCACTTAAAACTCTCATATTCATTATTATAATTGGGATCTAAACTACCAAATCAAACCAAGTCAAGTCTTAAGTCCCATCAAATGAGGTCAGATGGATAAATCATTCTTTTTCACTCGATTTTATCCACGTCAATCGGGATCTAAACTACCATTACAAAAAATAAATAAGTAAATAAAAAAAATAAAAAAAATCATTTTCACTACTCATTAGGTTCATATAAAATTATTTAAACATATTTCAAAATTCAATAATGGACCGGAAGAGAAGAAGAGAAAGCTTAACTTAAGTGTAAGTAATCTTCATTATGATCATTGTCTCTCATGATGAAAAACCAAGTGCTATGTTCTGCATTTGGTGCTTTCTTGTCCTTAGCTATATGTAAATTCATATCCTTCACTGCTTTTAATTGTAACTGGCACATATATATGGTTTTCAATAACTTACCTTTTTATTTTACAGGTTTTTATCTATTTTTAATTTTTTTTTTATATCATTTGATGCTTAATTTTCTATTTTTGCTAACATTACTCAATTCCCCAGGCACCGGAGGCGAGCCTGACATCATGTCTCTGCCTCCGAGGGTTCGCCCCTTCATACCCGAGAGGTATGACCCACCAGTACACGTTCTTCCGCGGGCTGTTTTTCATCATTTCACCGAGTTCGATGAGCGAGCACCAGGGGATCTCCTCCTGCGAGAGCCTGAGTATCATCTCTCCCATGAGGCACGAGTGGTATTTACTTCGTTTTTACCTTTTCTGTAACGTATTATGAATTTTTCTTGTATTCTGTTTGCACTCTGAACACACGGTTCAATCACTTGAATTTCTGAACACTCAGCCCGAAAATTGATTGTGAACACACAGCACACATCGGTTGAGGATTGAACACGCAGCTCACACACTGATTTTCTGAACACACAGTCCAAATTGAAGGTGAACACGTAGCCCACACTGATTGAGAGTTGAACACGCAGCCCAAACACTGATTTTCAGAGCACACAACCCAAATTGAAGGTGAACACGCAGCCCACACTGATTGAGAGTTGAACACGCAGCCCAAACACTAATTTTCTGAACGCACAGCCCAAATTGAAGGTGAACACGCAGCCCACACTGATTGAGAGTTGAATACGCTGCCCAAACACTGATTTTCAGAGCACACAGCCCAAATTGAAGGTGAACACGCATCCCACACTGATTGAGAGTTGAACACGTAGCCCAAACACTGATTTTCTGACCACACAGTCCAAATTGAAGGTGAACACGCAGCCCACACTGATTTTCTGAGCACACAGCCCAAATATTGATTTTCAGAGCACACAGCCCAAATTGAAGGTGAATACGCAGCCCACACTGATTGAGAGTTGAACACGCAGCCCAAACACTGATTTTCAGAGCACATAGCCCAAATTGATTTTCGAAGCACACAGGCCACTTACTTTACTTTGCGCGCAGCCTATTCATTTTATTTGCACACAGCTTATTCATTTCATTTGCATGCAGCTTATTCATTTTATGCTGAAACACCTATTCATTCTGAATGCAGGTGACTTCTCGCAATGTGCGGGGGTATGGCTCTACTGCGGCGAGAGACTGGTATGCCGAGCTCCCGAAGGCTGTTCGGGACTTGGTTGACTTGACGGGGTTTGGGCCCTTCTGTACTGGGCTATCCCGTTGCCCTGCCAGGAGGACGCTGATGGCTGCCTTAGTGGAGAGATGGTGGGACACCACCAACTCCTTCTATTTTTCCGCTACGGGGGACTTGACTATGACCCCTTCTGACTTTGCCGTACTG